TTTTTTTTTTTTTTTTTTTTTTTCTTTTTTAACCATGATTTTTTTTATTTATTTTTTTTTTTTCATTTTTGGCCCGGCCGGGCAATTGGTCCTGGGCCACTCTGGTAACATAGTTTTGTGGGCCTTTTTCCTGTTTTGCATGTGTATATGCAGGCATGGTATGATGGCCAGATCACTTTTATAAACCGGCGCAATCACAAAGCCGATGTATGCACATGTGAATTTCATGTTCAATTACGGTCAGTCTACCCTGGCCGTAACGGAAGCTCTCAAAGGTTAAAGAAAGGGGAAATTGTCCTGCATGGGGTTCAGGATATGGCCATACAGCAGGCACTATGTGCGGTGACAATGGAAGAGGCGATTGACGCGGTGTGCTCGGGGAATTTAAGGAGGATCGCTCCATGTAGGGCAGGTCATGCTGGCTTCGTGCATGATGCATTTTCAGATGAGACGGCGGCACAATGCTACAAGGTCAAGAAAGAGGAAGCCTCCACGGGCGATGGTGGCCTTGATAATGTGGAAGGAACAGAGGGAGGTGAGGCATCGACGGAAGCCGAGGGAAGATACAGATGTGAGACTACTACCCCTATGGATGTCAAACCGCGGCGTGAACTGAAGGAAGAGATAATCTTAGACGGAACGGAAGGTGTCGTCATGGAGGAGAGGGGAGGAGAGCTGGGTGGAAAGAAAACCATACATCGAGGACACGGGAAAAAAGGCCCAGGCAGAGGTTGGAGGAAAGGTATGCGCGGATGCTGGTGGAAACAGCAGGGAAGCATGGAAGATAAAGCATCCACGGAACAGGAGGGAAGGCGTACTGATGAGGCGACCACCCCTTTGCAGACCGAAGCGAACAGGGAATTGAAGGAGGAGATGGCTGTAGATAGCGAGGAAGTTATCGCGATGAAAGAGAAGGGGGCAAAACTCGGCGCGCAGGAAACTGCGGTCGGTCGGCAAGGGCATGCCATGGCGTCAGGTACAGTGCACATCAACCGAAGGGTGGGTAGGGGTTGGCGCAAAGGTCTGCACGGAGTGCGTAGACGAGTGAAACTACAGCCAACACATAAAGTGAAGAGGCGGAGGAAAACGATATCGGCAATAGGCCAGCAAAGTGGAAGCGACGTTGTCGACATGAAACTATCTAGAGTTCGACAGAGATTAAAACGCTCCCTTCAGCGATGTGCTCGTCTTATCAAGAAAACATAAAGGATCGAAGGACATACACCCCGGCCGCCAAAGGAAAAGACTCTCTCCTTTATGGTGACATCATCCCGTCGATGATCAGTAGGGGAAGGGAGGAGACGAAGGGCCTTGCTCCACTGCTCAACATCGAACACGTACCTGGACAGACTGTAGACCAGATACATTCGAGCAGATTGAACATTTTGAAATGAATTGAGGTGATCATGATCAGCTCCGGACACATTTCAAATGTTATGCAGTGGAGCAAGCTCCAAAGAGAGTAGTAGCAGCAAGGGAGGAGGCAAAGGGCCTTTCTCCACTGTTCAACATTGTACATGTATGTACCTGGACTGACTGTAGACCCGATGCATTGGAGCTGATAGAACATTTTGAATGCATTGAGATCCTGAACAGATCAAGATACACTTCAAATGTTCTGCAGTGGAGCAAGCTCCCAACAGAGGGGGAAGAGACAGTAGTAGTCGCAGGAGTAGAACGGGAAAGCGGAGGGGAAGGAGAGAGTGGAAGAGAAACATCTTTCTGGATGGTTTGGATTCACAGTCATTGGGCCTCGCTCCACTACTCTCGACACGCACACACGACAAATCATGGCGGTGTATCTTTCCATGTTCTAGCGGAAGATTCACTCTCGTTTCGTACATTTCGAGAGTAGTGCAGCGAGGCCCACTATCAACGGGCCAGAGGGTAAGCGCTCCACACAACCTCTTTTTCTTTTCCTCAAAATCCAGATCCCTTTACAAAATCCATGAAACCTCTTGATGGTGAGGCAACCAGGTTCTGTAAAAATAAAAATTCAGGAAATATAAGCTTTCATTAAGGCATCCATATCCATCTATCTCTGCGTGGTGGGAGAGGAGGGGGAGATATCTGGCAAGTGCTTTGGAGCACAGAGGGGCACATCTCTAAGTTATCCTCAGATGAAGAGATATTGGGCATGGGCAAGTGGCGGAAGAAGCGATTAACCCACCAGTACATTTCATAGGCAGGGAAGTTTTTTCCTCCTCAATATCTATGGAAGGAGCTCAAGCTGTATGTACAGGGACGCTGGACCCCATTTCCAGCTGGTGACACTCCCCACCAATAGATTGGAGCAACCAGAAAGGCTATCAGGCGGGGTTGTGCTCATATCACCCCTCCTAACAGCTAGACTGGTTCAAAAAAAAAAAAAAAAAAAAAAAAAAAAAAAAAAAAGGTCTGTTTCAGCGCAGCTGTACATGCGCCGCGACTTTGGGGGCTTGCTATACCCCGAATCGGAAAGGCTGGATTACATGCCATTGGGGCTTGCTATACCCCGAATCGGAAAGGCTGGATTACATGGCTTTGGGGCTTGCTATACCCTGAATCGGAAAGGCTGGATTACATGGCTTTGGGGCTTGCTATACCCTGAATGGGAAAGGCGGGAGCGGTCCCAGCCAGATCAAGAAAAAGAAAATCACCCCCCCATGTCAGTTTCACCAAACTGGGCGCTTGGCAGAAATCGGCCTCGGGAAAAAGAGGCTCTAAACTGCAAGTGGTGGCTTAAGCCTCTTTGTACGATAACGACGGGTAAGTGTTACAATCACAACCATGTAGGGTTACGATAAATAACAACCATGAGGGATCGCGACAGCCGCGGAGGGTTACGATAACACCCGTGAAGGGTTACCGTGAGAAAGGGGTGACGGTGAAGGGGGTTCTGATAACACCTGTGAAGGGTTACCTTGAGAAAGGGGTGACCTTGAAGGGGGTTACGATAACAACTGTGAAGGGTGATGATAACCACCATGAAGGGTTACTGTGAAGGGGGTGAAGGGTTAACAATAACACCCGTGAAGGCGTGTACGGGTTATCGTGAAGCAGGTGAAGGGTTACGATAACACCCGTGATGGGGCACGATAATGCCCATGAAGGGGAGTATGAGAACAACCGTGAAGGGGAACGTGGGGGGTTAAGAGGGGGAGCGTGAACCCAGTGATCCAAGGATCCAGAAAGAGTAGGGCCCTGTAGGGGTCCACAATTTTGGCGGTTTTGAAATTTACGCTGGCTCTTATTGGCTGACTAATGGGAGTGATGAGGATCTAAGTGTAGTTATTCTTTTGCGTCCCTGTTTAATTGGGTGCTACAAGGTACAATAGATGATGCGGTATCGTTCTTGATGCACATGTAGCAATACCGCTGATATTGCTAGTTTTGGAGAAGCATCTATGTGGAGCCTGTTTGGCCGAAGAAGAAGTCGTGTATATACTTCATCTATAAATTTATATTTTACTTATATCTTTATGTATCTAGGCTGCTTATTGAACAATAGTGTGTCAAGACCGATCGAGGGAGTACCATGTCCACGTTTCAGGGGGGTACCATGTCCACGTTTCAGGGGGGTACCATGTCCAGGTTTTTTTGGGGGGTACCATGTCCAGGTTTTTGGGGGGGGTACCATGTCCAGACTCCAGACCTAGGTGTTCCAGATCTGCACAGATTCTTGCTTTCTGCAGTCTGCAGATGCTAGTCAAAGTCTGATTTTTCCTGAAAAGGAGAAGTGAAGCCGACAAGTGGAAATGTAGTCATCGAAGTTTGTGATGAGATCGTATTTCATTCGGACTATAGGGAGTGTACAAGCAAAACCAACTCTGGAGGGGGGGGGCATGGGGTTCCTCCCTTTTCTTTTTTCCTTTTTTCTCAATCCTTCCCCATTCCTTGTAATTTTGTAATGATCGGCAAACATTTTATTTTTTCAAGTTCACGAACTTATCAAGTTGTTTTCGAGGGTTTTTTTTTTTTTTTTAACCTAGGCTACCAGCCGGGCTGCCCGGGTCCTGGGTGGCCAGCCCATGCAAGGAGCAGGGAAGGTCCCAGCAAAAGAAAAAAAATCCTAGAAATCCAAAAAATCCAAAAAAAAAACTATGTTATGCAGAAATAAACTGAACAACTTTTGCCTCAGGGTCACATCAAAATTTTAGGACACTGGACCTGCTTTCCAGTCTGATACCCAAGCTAGGATGCTGGACCTGTTTTTCAGCAATCCGGGTTGAATTGTGAGGTTCCCGGCCTCTGTTCTTGTCCTTTTAAACCACCAGTACTTGGCTCAGCTATCGGCCGCGGAAAAAAATAGAGTAGAAACGTTTCTAGTGACCGATGAATTTGGGCGCTCCTGTAGTGGCCCATACGTTTCCTAAAATCGTGTAGCGTTAACGGGCGCGACTTTACGAAGTACTGGTGGTTTAATACCAAGCAACACGCTACTGTTTATAAAGTACATAATGCAGGGGGGCTGCTGGTATCTCTTCAGGCATACGGCCTGACCCTGCCAGGAGCCAGATGGTCAGCCATGCAACGACAAGAGGAGATGGATACACAACTACCTGCATCCTCCCTTGCCAGAATCAGGGTGGTGGGAAGCCAAGACAACGTTTTCTTCCAGTTCGCCCTCCACCCCGCTGGCCCTCCTCCCGTTCGACCCAGCAGAATGGGAGTGGACATGGGGGAGATCTCAAAAAATGTCCCTGTGGCAATATACAGTGAAGAAAGGCTATAGAGCAGCATGAAAACCAGCTGCAACTACTGACAATCATTAAGAGGTGGGTGAGGGCTCCCCGTTGGGGCCACAGGACTTCAGACGCTTTCGGTGGTCTGCATACTCGCACATCTGTCCGACTAGCCACAGAGCCCGTCAATGGCAAATCGTACACAGATGCCTGCCTACCCCGGATTGGATGACATCACGGACTGACCTGGAGGAAAAAGGTCTGCTCTCCCCACTATGTTCATATTGCTCGCACACACTTCCCAACAGAAGAGCTACCCGGGAGCACTGCTTACTGGAATGCCCCATGGTGCTCCAACTGTGGAGATGGTGGGATGCAGCATGGCACTACCTCACAGGTCATCACCTCCCCAGTGAGGTGCCCACTCTATTACTAGGGACCCCCCCGACTGCGTCCGCGATATGGACCCCGTTCATGACTAAACTCTTCACATTCTCAAGACTAACTGTGCTCATGGCAGCATGGAGGATGCGATGCTCCTATGAGAGAAAACAGCATAACTATGGCTTTATGCAAGCCCGCTCAACGATATCAGACACGATCTCAGCCTACACTCAGGCTGCGTGGAAAGAACTGCACAATAACTTAGCCATTGAGCCTAACATTGACAAAAAACAAGGACTGAGAAACAGCTTTGCGGAGACATGCACTGATCCAAACCACAGACTCTGCACTCTCAATGATGATAACACCCTCACATGGCATCCCTGGCTCCTTTATGAGAGGCTATGGGAAAGAAGGCCTCCGCACCACTTCCAAGTCATCTACCAGCCAACAGACTTCATCCTCATATATCCCTGACCACCTGCTGCTGATGTAAATAATATCACCCCCTCCCTATCACCCCCCGCCCCCCCCCCTCCCCCCCTTCTTCACCCTTCTTTCCCAACCACACCATCATGCCGGCCAGGGATTGACTACCTTGCGGCCCTCATATGAAGACCG